ATGTAATTCAGTCATTGACTGCTAAATCGGTCTTTTTAATAAATCTATATATTTGACTATATATCAAAACTATTCCTTTCTATTTTCTATATTGGTGTATACTGGACATGGAATTATTACCGAGCTCACAGTCATCCTCGGTTCCTGGGCCTTATCGACCGTGATAAAAGATGCAAATTTGAAGTTACAGGCTCGAAAATGACACTGTAAATAGTGTTTTTACAGCGATTCGAACAAGACTATTACAAAGAAGATACACCCGAAGGGGCCGAAGTTATGTTCGGCAAAAGGTAAGGCTAGTCTATATTGTTGTTCAGACAATTGCGTAATTTGACAATATACGATCTCGCTTGACCTTCAAAGGCCATCAATCGCTACAATGTTGATAATGACTAAAGATCATGAAGAAAATTCAAAAGAAATGAATGTTTAATGAATGTTTAATGAATGTTTGTAAATCGGATAAAGATTTGTCCTAATTTATATAAATTTCAGCTTTGATTTTCTCGGCTTGGACAATGTTTATTTTTAAAATTACTTCGCCAATGAACTCATAACATGGCCATGGGTCGTTTTTAAATGCGTTAAAATATTCGTATCCGATCTTTATCTGATATACAAACTCTCGCTAAAGATAAAGATCGGCTGCTCACATTTTAACTAGTACCAAGGTTAATCACTACTATAGTCTATTAACCGTGCTGGTACTTATATCGTATTTCAAAATATTTTTAATTAAGCGGCCGTAAAAACCGATCTGTGTTTACTTTATATGAGAAAATTCATGTCGCTTGCCAGGACAATTTTGTTCCATTATATTTTTGTCGCCTTGAGTCCTTTGACATTATTGACAATTCTTAAGTGCCGGCAACCGCGAGTGTTTAAATATGGAGATATCTTCAGTAGTAAGCGAGATCTCGTCTCTTTCAAGCGAGATCTCGGTGTTTAAAGCACGGAAATTTCTACCACAAGTTCTACTATATTCATATATGGCGAGATTTCGCTAGCTGCCTAACTCGGGGACCGATCCCGGCTTTCATATAGATAGCCCCATAGCAGTTTAACTTGACATACCTTCCCCAATACCGATTTCCATACGTCCCGGGCTCGTAATGGTAGATCGGTTCAGCGACACCATAATCGAACAAGCCAATCGCAACGCCCGCTGAGAACAACATTGTGAAATATGCAGCATCGCTAAATTCTGGTTCTTCGTCATCTCTGCCAAGTCTCATCTTTCCATATTTCGAGAAGTAGACAACCACAATGAAAAGAAACCAAGCGTCCTGAGTCCCGATGTACAGCCAGGTAAACTTTTCCGTGATCCAGCTCTTGCCTTCGGTCATGTATTGAGATACATTGTCAGTGTCGGCCAACATACCCCACATGACAAGCCCCCAAACGACGGATGCAGATATCACTGTGACCACTGGATTTAGATTTACGTGAAAAGGCCCAATATCTGCCTTAAACGTGCGGCATGTTTTGCGGTTAGAATCAGCCATGATGAAAAAACTGTGAAGAAATTATTTTGCTGACAACCGGATGCCTCCGATTGTTCGATGGTGTAATAATAGCACAGTTAATAGAATTACGATGGTTAGGCTAGCCAGTGACGTCACAAAATATGTAATTGTTCATTTTTTATTTTGATCATGTGACCAATAAGCGGAATAAATTGGAGCTCAGACGCTAATTGAAATTTCAACCTTGAAACCATTGTATACCCGCATATCCTGGCGGCGGGCATGCTGCGTGCAATACCCTGGCAAACGGTGGTCATGTGAATGCAAGAATTTTGTACATTACGTAATTGTTACTTTTCATATCGGGGTGGGGGGTGGGTGGGTGGGTGATCCGGTAAACACAAGGAGCGACCACATGTATAAAAAATAGGTACAACACGCATGCACGAATCTACGAATAGCAATAAAACGTTGACCCGCTCTACCCAGTAGTCAATCGTAAGCTAGATTAGAACATAATCATGCAGAAAATAATATATGCGTGCATAAACAGGTCCTTGATATACCGGTATTTTGCGCTAAAACGGTGATTCCATATATATTAAAATATTTACAATTCTAATTGTAGGACCATACTTAGTTGCACATTTAACAAATCCATCGTAGTAAAATTTTAGTAAAAACCCACAGTAACTGTGTCCTATGCGTGTGCACTGATCCGAACGTGTTTTTCGCGTGACGAATTCGTTGATATAATGCTCCTGCCGCGAAACAAGATATTATGAAACACATCAATATACAATTATTAAACTAACTAGAAATAGTTTACACTAAAACTACCCCCGGCTGATTATATTGTACTAACTAGCTGTTATTTACAAATATTAATACGACAAAATGTTATTACTACTTTCTGCATGGCTTTCTTTCAAAGCGCTTAGAAGATTGATAAAATTGGACGAACTTTACCCACGTGTAACTTGATCCTTGTGCGTCTATCCCGCTGAAGGAATGCGCTTTTCAATATAATGGAACAATGACTATGAGGCCCTTGTTTCAAATGTTTTATAATGTGACCGTTGTGTATTAAGGTTTGCAGTGCCTTTTTTAAGGAATTTTCACTGGGAGGAGGGGACAACACAGGAAAAAAAGGCCGTCGAGGTTTGGCTAACGCGCGAGTCTGAAGAGAGATTTTGTTTATTATTTAATTTATTAACTTCAGCTATATTTTACTTTAAACAATATATTTTACTTTAAACAACTCTTTGTAGCTATAATCGTACAACTATAACCAGTGGCGTAGCCAAATCTTAATTTTTTTTTGGGGGGGGCGAACCTCACGCCTTCGGCGTGAGACCGTCTAGGAGGGTCCGGGGGCATGCACCCCCGGGAAAATTTGGAAATCTAGGTTCCCTGAATTGCGATTTCAAGCATTTTGAAGGTGAAATCTAGCAGAATTCCGAAGATTATAAAGTACATCGAAGACATGAATTTTTCCAGACATTTCTACTCGGAATTAAATAAATTGGAAAAGTCACCTTGAAAAATAGGAGGAGGGGTCAGTGTCACCTTATTTCCTCTCTGTGATGCTGGGGGGAGAAAATCCCAATGTGATTTTGATCAGAAATGTTGCATTTAAATCATTTTAGGTTCTATGAGACACCATTTCCGCATTCTCAAAATTGAGTTGCTTTTTCATACGATACAGACTAAGTCTGAGAAGAAATATTCATGCTATGATGATGCATACATAAGAGTTAAAAATCTAAACTAAATCTATTCTTCTTGGAACCATATCTACAACTGCTTTAAATTAACGAGATTTTACAAATCAAGTTCCTCCAGTATATCGACTTTTTCCTCAGTCGAGACGTACTTAATCAGTTTCAGCTTCAAGGCATGTAACGTGTACCCCCCTCCCCAATTTCTCTACGTATTTAGCCTTTCTGAGAGAATGGTTTTTGTGGAGATTGGGGGGGGGTTTAATATAACTTGATATTTTTAAGAAGAAAAAATTGCAATAAAACCTCCCAAAACAAAACACAATGCCTCTGCGGAGGAGAGTGCTAGGAAATCTTCGCAAGGTTTGGAAAGTCTAGGCTGTCTAGCATTTTATCGGATTGTTTGCATGAAATCTATCGCTATTATGAAGTACTCGGTGAAGAACAATATGAATTACACACAAGATGGCTGTGGAGGAGGCTATGGAAGGGCATAATCTCATTATTAAGTAAATCAA